AATGAACAAAATGCAAAAATTGTCAATAAAATTTTGGCAGACAAATGCAGTAAGTCAATAAGAATATTATACAGCGTGACCAAGTGGGATTCATCCTAGGAATGCAGGGATGGTTCAACATACACAAATCAATAAATGTAATCCACCATATCAATAGAACCAAAAATAAGAATCACATAATCAAATCTATAGATGCAGAAGAAACTTTGGATATGGTCCAACACTTATTCATGATAAAAGCCACACAGAAAATCAGAATAGATGGCCTTATCTCAACAGGATAAAAGCCATCTATGACAAACCAACAGCCAGCATCATATAAATGGCCAAAAACTGAAAGCCTTTACCCTAAAATCAGAAACAAGACAAGGATATCCATTATCACCACTCCTATTCAATATAGTGCTAGAAATACTAGCCAGAGTGATTAGACAAGAGAGAGAAATAAAAGGAGTAAGGATAGGAAAAGAATAAGCTAAATTATCATTATTTGTGGATGACATGATACTCTACATAGAAGACCCTCAAAACTCCTTGAAAGACACCTAAATATAATCAATAAATTCAGTAATGTACTAGGATACAAAGTCAATGGTCAAAAATCAGTAGCATTCCTATACACTAACAACAAAACCACTGAAAGAGAAATAAGAGAAGCCACACCCTTTACAATAGGATCCAATGAAATGAAATATTAGGAATTAATTTAACAATCAAAGTAAAATATTTATTCAAGGCAAATTACAATACCCTGAAAAAGAAATTGAAGAGGATCTCAGAAAATGGAAAGACATCCCTTGTTCACGGATAAGGAGGAGAAACATGTGAAAATGGCCATTCTCCTAAAATTGTTATACAGATTCAATGCAATCTCATCAACATACCTCATAGGTCTAGAGAAGTCACTCCTAAAATTCATCTGGAACCAGAAGAATCCTAGAATAGCAAAGGCAATTCTAAGCAACCAAGGCAAGGCAGGAGGCAACACAATCCCTTACTTGAAGTTATACTACAAAGCTACTATAATAAAATCAGCATGGTACTGGAATAGAAACAGACCTGAAGATCAATGGAATAGGTTAGAAGATACAACTACATCTACAAACACACTCAACCACCTTCTCTTTGACAAATGGTTCAAACACATCCACTGGAATTAAGGTAGTCTCTTCAATAAATGGTGCTAGAAAAACTGGTTCTCCGTATACCAAAAACTAAAACTAGACTCACGCCTATCACCATGTCCTAAACTGGAGTCTATATGGCTCAAAGATCTAAATATTAAAACAGAAATACTAAATTTATTGCAAGACAAAGTAACTAGAAATCTTGAATCTTGTTAGTTGTAGGTAGAGAATTCATGAACAGGAATCAAACCACACAGAAGTATTTCCAATACTTCCCAGAATCAATAACTGGGATCATGTCTTATTAAAGAGTTTTTGCATGTTGAAAGAAATTTCCAGCATAGTGAAAAGAAACCCACCAATTGGGAAAAACTGTCCCTCAAACAGACTTGTGAATTGTCCCTCAGACGGACTTCTGTCTAGAACATATAAAGAATTAAAAAAAAATACGATCCCCAAAATTTAAAGACCCATTCCAAAAATGGGCATCTGAGATGAACACACAGTTCTCAGATGAAGAAATAAAAATGGCAAATAAATACATGAAAATATGTTCAGAATCATTTGTTATTAGAGAAATGAAGATTGAAACAACACTGAGATTCCATCTCACTCCAGAAAGAATGGCCAGGATCAAGAGACTATCAACAAGAAATGCCGGAGAGGCTACGGGAAAAAGGAACTCTCCTGCTCTGTTGGTGGAAGTACAGACTAGAGCAACAACTATGGAAGTCAGTCTAGAGATTACTCAAAAAGCTGGGACTGGAGGTCCCATTTGACCCAGCCATTCCACTTTTGGGCATATTCCCAGAAGAACTGAAAACATCATACCACAGTGATATATGTGCACTCATGTTTATAGAAGCACAATTTGTACTAGCCAGATCTTGAAAACAACTTAAATGCCCATCTACCTAGGAATGTATAAAAAAGATGCAGTATTTTTATATTATGGAGTACTACTCTGCTATAAATAATGATCACCCTGAGATATTTATAAGGTAATGGATGCAACTCGAGACCATACGCATAAGTGAAATAAATCAAACTCACATGTGTAAATAACATATAGTCTCCCTAGTGTATGGTTCAAGTACATAAGATACAAAAAAATTCAATAATTACAATGAAAGGATAAGAATCTGTGTGAAGAGGAAAAATAATATCTCAGGGAAACTGAGGAAAAAGAAAAAGGAAGGGAAAAGAAAAAATGTCTAAAAGTATATGAACACGCTTAGGATGGCTAAGATGATTGCACTACAAACTCCAAAAGCTCTTGAAACAAAATAGTTAACATTCATAGGATTGGAATAATTGTTCATATTATTTTATAATGATCTGCGGAACTCTTGAAGATCATTATGTAAAATAACAACCCTAGTTATGCTCAGACCACCTTGTTTTGAAAGCCTATATTGTCAGTGTTCTGAGCTCTTTGCTTTTGTTGTTTATATGTCTTTTTCATTTTGTGTGTTTCTAAGAATTTGTTTTGTTTGTCTTATTTTATTGTCTTTTTCCCTCTAACAAATAAAGGGTAGTTATACACATAGAGACTCATGCATGCCTAGAACTTCTAAAAAATTTATGAGAATTGATTATATAATGCATGATGAAATGAACAGCTACTTTGAAGAAAAAGAGATACTAAGGTACACGTGCTGATTCCATAACATCATGTTGTGAAACCCAGTCATACTATTATTCCTTGTTCAGAGTGATTTTAGTTTGTTTGGTTTTGTTTAACTTCAATATGCATGAAGGTATTGACAGCTATTTTGAAGAGAATGAGAGACATTATGGCAGCCATTGCTGACTTTCTTATTGTTTGGTCTTGAAAACTTAAAATGCCTTCATCGTCCTGTTCTGGTCAGTTTAGTACTATTTTGTTTTGTATGAATTCACTGTATGTGAAGATATGGACAACTATTTGGAAGAAAATAAGAGACAAAATTATAAGTCAGTGAAGAATTCCGGTGGTCTTGCTTTGAAATCTGTGTCTCTTACATTGTTATCTTATGATCTATTTTGTTATGTTTAATTTTACCCCCTTTAAAAATAAAAAAAAAATAGACTTAGGTACTTTTACTGTTGTAGAAGAAAAATATGCAACATTGGAAACTTAAGAAGCAGAGATTTATTTTTCTCACAATTTGTTGGAGTTTCAGGCCTTCAAACATCTCCGGGCACAACGTGACAGAAGGGAATGATGGAGCACATCTGCCCATTCCACTGCATAAAGGAAGCAAACAGAATAGAGGAGACGGGCAGGCAATAAACCCCACAGGCCATACCCATAGTGATTCATCTCTTCTGACCAGTCCTGACATTAAGTCAGGTATGAACCTCTGAAACCCTGCTACCACCCCAAAGCACCACCTATAAGTACCTGATGCTCTAGAGAGACATCTAGATGTACAGCATAACACTGACTGGGACTCCAGAAGAGAGATGTCTAGCATCAGTTATGAAATACAGGCACTGCCTTTGTAGTCTTAGCTGGTTCTGAACATGTCCTGTGTTCTCTGAGGTCCTAGGATCACTATGTTGTAGGATTTGATCCAACGAGGGGCTCAGGTGTCATGGTCACATATTCTACCTGCAGATGGCTGCACCATCCTGAGTGGTTTGGTGTCTAAACTCTCTGGCTCACAAAGTTTAAGCCATTTACTCCCAGCCTGTGATACCAAGGAGACCCAGTATTTGCTTGTAGCCCCAGCTATACTCAAAGTCTCTTGTGAAGACTGCATGGTGCACTGTGATTGTCACAGAAACAGTGGGATGCTTTTCTCTTTCCCTGGTGCATTTTGGCATTTTACACCCATGCATTTATATTCATAGTTGCTTTTATGCTAGGTGTAGTGCAAATAAATACATAGAATATCTAAAATTACTATTTGATAGTTCAGTCAACTAGTGCTTTAAATTTCATCCCAAACTACAAGAATGTATTTTATCCCCTATATCATATTATAATAAACTTCAACAACTGTGACTTTATCATTTTTAACCTTGAAATCCATAATAATAACTTCAATAGCTGCTATTAGTTCTATCAAGAGCAAACCTACTAAATAGAGCCTTGTTTTGCTTTGAATCTGGGGGTTAGACTCAGAGATGCAGGAATGTGAGCTAGATAATCTGTGAGTTATTCTACCAGATCTATAATTCCTTTGGACATAAAATATACAGCTATTGTTCAGTGTGTGATTCAGAACATGTAAGAAATAATCCCAAGTCTTTGATGCTCAAAACAGAAATGGCACCTATTAGTCTGTGATTTCTGGAATGTGGTTCACCCATTTGGGGCTGGTTGGGAGGCTGCAGTCTGATTCTCTCAGGATACTGCAGTTGCTTTGTCTGGAGCTACACATTCTACATTACAGTAAGGAATTTATATGCCAGGGAGGACACAGTCTAAGACCCTCTCAATGTCACCTCCCACAGGGCTGCATGAGCATCCTCTCAACTGGCTTCCCATGGAAGGAGTGATGTAAATCATTGACTACAATGTGATCTGTAGGATGTGACCTTGATGCCTTCCTACTGTATTACATTAGTCACAGCCCTTGCTCCATGAAGGTGTCTGTACACAGACAGCATCATCAGGACATGAATGACAGAAGTTAAGGATCCTCAGAGAAGATGCAGGATGTCATCAGTCTTAATTTTACAGCCAGATAAGCTATGACTCAGGCACACATCCAAAATCTCTTACACTGTGAACAAACACAACACTTCCACCCCTCCAGGAAGTCTCCGCAGATTTCTTTCAGTTAATAAATTCATCTCCAAAACAAATAATACTGTATATTGTTTTGAAAATGCAGAGTAATCATGCCTGTTGAAGAACTCAACATGTGGAAGCAAACAAGATGAAGTCTTTGCCATTCAGTTTATTTTCTCAGCAGAGCCGTGATAATTACATTATTGACTGCAATAGCCATTTTTTGTTTTACTTTTAAATTATGTTCAACTCTATAAATGTTCTAAAGCTTCAAAAATTCATTTAATGAGAGTTGACTATATTTTCTGGGCTTACAAAATAATAAAGTTGGTGTGAAAGTCTTGTGTGAGCTTCTCTATCATGTTAAATTTCTCTACAGCACAAAACCAGGGGTGGACTTGGGGTCATAGGAAGACTGTATGTTCATGAGAATCTTATAGTAGTATTTTCATGGCGTTTCTTACTCCCACACCAGTGTGCGAGAACAATTTCCTCTTCTCTCCTGAGATTTTTCTGTAATTTCCCCAGGCTGGAACATGCATGGCAGGTAGACTTCTATTGTTTTAATATGATGGATGCAGAAGAACACTGGTGTAGGTTCTACCTGGGATTCCCAATTTATGTAGCCTTTCACTTCAGAGGAGAGAGGACACCCTCAAACTCAGAAATTCCCATCATCAAATCATCATTTGTACATTCCATATATATCATCATTGTAACTATTTTAAAATTCAAACAGGATAAGAAATTTGAAAAGGGCTGATGGGCTGTGAATACTATTTTTCATATGTAAGTATCTTTGGAAGTAGCCTTGTTGATAAGACTGAATTTCACTGTTTGTTGCTGTCCCACACGGTAGGGATCTCAGTGCACTGATTTTATCACAGAAGAGGTCATGCAAATGAACAGCATCTGAAGTTATCAGTTGGGAGGCCACAGACACGGGTGAAATAGGAAAACACTGTGAATCTGCTCTAAAGCACGGTGAGAAATGTGTGGCCGTGATCTACTGCGGGAAGCAGCCAACACTTTTAAGTATTTCACAGGAAGTATAGGAAGTATAGGAAGAAGTCGCACTTCTCAAAGACTATGGAAAGGAAGGGAAGTGTATTAAGGGGAAGCTGGGCTGCACAGTGAGCAGTGGAAATGGCCAAATGACAAGGATTTTACATAATTTTCCACAGGGCTGGGAAGCAGCCTGGGTCTTTGATGGCAGAGGCTCCCAGCCCTGCCCAGTATTATCTTGGCTGGGACACAGTGTGCTCGCCTGGTCTACTGGGAAGAGTGTTGTGTAAGGCTCTTTGGGTGTGCAATAGGGAGAGCTTCTGAGGTCACTGGGAGGATGGAAAGAACAAGATTCTTTCCTGAAGGTGGAATTAAAAAATATGGCCTCAGTGTTTGAGAGAAGTTGCCTGTGAAAGTATGGAGTATGCCCAATTTCTTCCCAGCATAGAAAGAAATCAATCCTTGCTCATACTGAAGAAAAAAAAAAAATCCCACTGTCAATGGAGAAGCTATTACACTGAAATTGTAATGCAGTAAAGAAAAAGTCAAATACTTAGTATCATATCTGGTAATGTTCCAAAAAGCCATTATCAGAATGAATATGTTCAAAATGCAATTTCCTGTTGAATGAAACCAAGCACAGGCCTATTGTCCACAATTCACTCTCTCTTACATACACCTTCCAGTAACGCCGACCACTAAAGAAGCTGTTCCAAGCCAGCACAGCTCGCTGAGAAGTAAATCTTCCAGAGAATTTAGGAACATCTCACTCTTTTGACAAATATTCCACACGTTTCCCACCATCTGACACAGAGAGCTGAGGGTGAGCGGTGTCTTCATCCACAATTATGTCTTCTGCAATAAAAGGGAGAGATCTGTTACCTGTAGGCCTTAGGAAAAGCACTTCTCATTCCACGAGCACTGTCCAAAGAAGGGTGAGGGGCACAGTGCAGGGACCCAGGAGTCCTTTCCACAGCCCAGGCCCTGAGCCTATCCCACCTGCAGAGCTGGAGATCTTTCCTCCCAGGGAAACTCCTCCAAAACCTTCGGCTCTGCCCCTGATTTGCACTGTCCTCTCAGAGGTTACCAGGACATGGTGGGTGAGAATGGGGAAGACGTGCCCACCCACCTGGGAAAGGGGTCACCAGGGTCTGAGGCTCACAGGGCTTCCCAGGCCTCACACAGGGGCACCGCATCCACATGAAGAGAAGAAAAGCATCCCAGAGGGACCAAGAGAGTCATGGACAGTAGCACAGAACAGAGAGGTCAGGATGCTCAGGAGAGGACCCTGGGCAGAGCGCGGAGGGAGGCAGGGCAGGAGGAAAGAGGAGTCAATGAACAGCAGGCATAGGCCAGGGCGACCTGGGCAGGGAGGCTGTACACAGGGCTGGACCTTGATTAGGGATAATGGGGAGAAGTGAGATGGGAAGCATCAGAGAGAATGAAATGTCCTCACTACTTAGCAAGGCTTTGGGTAAAGAGAGGAGAAAAGTAGTATAACAGGCAGTGGAGAAATTCACCCCGCACCAGTCCCTGCTGACCGCTTTCTTCTGCAGGAGAAAACCCCTCGCATGTGCAGTGAGGAGAGAGCCCCACTGACCAGGGGACGCAGGGCTGCAGGAGTTGGGGTGGAGGGGGAGTCCTGTTCTGTGCTCCGGGGTCCTGCAGGGCCCTGAGGGGCTCTGGAGCTGCTGCATGGGTAAGGGAGATGCAGCCCCTGCTCCTGACTGTGCAGACCCTGCCCTGGCCCTGAAGTACCGCTCAAGCAGGAAAACTTGGCGCCCTGCTCCCCTTTGCTCCTAGGCCATGTGTAGAATAGTTCTTCTCAGCTCCCGCTCTGACCTGCCGTCCTGACAGGGGCGGAAAACCCGCAGGACCAACTGATTGTGCCCTGAAACGTGCAGAACTCAGAGACAAAACAAAATGTTCCTTTTTAAAACTTGTTATGTCAGGTGTGTGTTAAGGCCAAGCAGAACCTACATCCCTTGTTTATTCACTCAGTTTTCTCTCACATTCTCTCCCCCATCAGCGTGCTGGTCCTCCCATAACCCCGGGCGCACAGGTCCAGCATGAAGCCGTCTTCCTGGTTCACAGGCATCTTACAGATTATTGGGCAAAACCTTTCCTCTCACACTAGAATCCTACAGGGCTGGGGTGGAAAAAATGAGGTGACTTTAAATCATTCCCTTTCCGATTACCTGCAAATTGTGGATCTTCCTTCTGACCTGCAAGCAAATGGGACAGTAAAGTCAGCGGAGAGGTTGTTCGGTAGGACACTGTAGGTAACAGGGCATGGGATGTCAGTTGTGAGAATCAGGATCGTACTCACCTTTCCTTCCAAAACGATATATTCGTTCTGCAAACAAATCACACAGACAGATAAGTATTTGATGACACGCGGACTGAACATTTAATTCAGCACAGGAAAGGATGTACCTCAGCAAGGTCTTTAGTGAGTCTCACTAAAAGTAAATGTGATCCAAAGTATGCAACAGATATTGTGAAAGGGAGAAGAAACTGCTCAAAAGGAGAAAGTACTGGGATGGGGGAAAGCAGAAAAGAAGGGAGAAGAAAAATAATACATGCAAGATAGGTAAGATAATCTTACTACTAATTTCTATTAGCTCATTAAGAAGAGTTTTGTATTTACATTTCTTGATTAATTTATCATGGCTGTATTTTGCAATCTGAGCAACTATTTTGAAGATAACAATATACAATACATTAACCCTCGATAATCTATTATCTTGTCTTGAAATTCTGAAGCATTTTTAGTTTTTCACTCTTGAAAATTAAAAAAAATGGAAAAGAAATGTATTTTTAAAAATTTTTCGATACTGGAGATCTAACTCTGACAACTGTGCACTTGCAAGGTAGACCACTTATGCCACTGAGCTAAACCCTGGTCTGGAAAAGACTATATTCATTTTTGAAACTCCAAGAAGTCATTTGTGGCCTGTCTTGTGAACTATTTGGGAACTTTTACAGCTTTCTAGAGTTTGAAGCAGAAGGACCAAAAGTTGTCCTCAATTTTTCTCAATTTGGAACACCACTGAACTGGCTAAGAATCTGACTACAACTATCATAAGCAGCTTGTTACTGCTGACTTATTACTCCACTAGTTCAGTTTATATCCTCAGGACAATCTTGGAATAACCACAAATATTTTCTCTCTACCCCGCAAACACTTACCGAGGTCCTGCTCTAGCCAGGAGCTGTGTGTGCACAGGGACCTCAGGAGGAGCCAGGTGCAGGCTCTGCTCTCCCAGGGGACCACTGCAGCCCTCATGACAGCCAGAGCTGGGAGCACCATGAGACACATAGCAGAAAGGGGCCTGGACATCCTGGAGAGGGAGGTTTGTTTGTGCTGTTTGTTACTGCCTTATTAAAAATACTATTTCTTAGAAGAAAAATAGGTTTATATTCTGGTAAAAATCAAAGAGAAGAAAAAGCATTTCACATTTTCCTTTACCTACACCTAGATTCAGAATATTTTTTTTCTGCAACAAATTATCTAAAAATTCTAACTCATTGTCACAATCACTTAAGTGCTAATTGAAATTACTTGCTCATAAAAATCAGCAAATATCATTAAGTATCATTGAGTAGCTAATTGATGTTTCTTTTTATTAGTAATTTGTTTGTCCTTTCCTGTCAGTCATGTAACAGATTTTTCCTTATTTTGATAAGGCAAAAAATATGTATTTAAAGTTTCCTCTGGTTAAAAAGAAAGGTATATAAAAATTGGCCTAATGAGTCAATAAAAGTACAGAGTTACATAGTCTAAATATAAAAACCAAAAGCAAAGCAACAAAATAAAAAGAAAATGAAGCATACAACCATTTTCTTGATCCAATGTCACATAAGACCTGGTGCCATTATAAATAGGGCCTGTGATGTGCTAGAGATCATTACCATAGGAGAATGAATAGGATCCCAGACGTGGGGCTGAGGACACGGTGGTCTCTGTGTCAGGAAGGGGCAGTGTCTGCAGATACACAGAGCAGGGCCCACCCTCCGCCTCCTCCCCACCTGCTCCCTCTCCTGCCCCAGCCTGGATCCTGCCAGGCCCTGACTCCAGCCTCACCAAAGCACTAGGACATTTTCTCTCCTCCTCCACCACCTCAGAGTTCTGAGTCTTCTGCAGTCACTGCTCCCCAGTGAACTCTAACTCACAAGTCAGTGGACTCCATGCTGCAGTCCTGACGAAGCCTTAACCATGTGATTATATTGCTAAACCTTCCTCTACTCAAAATCTCACCATATTTTTCATTAATAATATAAATACGCAGACTCTGGTTTGGCCTGCAGTGCTCCTCACAATCTGCCCTCTGTCTAACTTTCCTATCTCATCCTTCTAATTCTTCCCTATCTTTCTTGTTTAGTATTTGTTATTTTTTTTAGAACCACACATGGGAGAGAGCAGTACATTATTTTACTTTCATCAATAGGAACTACTGCATCTAGTATATGGGATTCTTTTGATAAGTGAAGATAAAATTATGATTGCAATTATGTTATCCTTATTAAAGATTGTTTCATATGACTTGTTAATTTTAAAATAGTTAAATGGTTTCCTTCTATAGCTGTGCTTTTATTTTATAGTGAATTTCAAATTTCCTTACTGAAAAGTCATATCAATTCATTTCTAGGAAAGGATTTCAGCACAGTTATTGGAAAGATCAACACGTCCGTGCAGAGGTTTTCAGATTGTCATTAATGTGATCAGTGATGAATTCAGTCTGGGTGGAGTTTGGTTGGCTAACCTGATTTAAAGAAATTTTATATTTACCCAACACTCTGTCTTGCCAGAGATTTATTCAGATGTAAAATATGAAAATGAGTGTGATTTAAAAGTTAGACAAGAAAGGCAATGATGCAAATAACATAACATTTAGGTCAACTGAATTTCTATGATGTCTACAATGAAAGAGATGATATATAAAATCTCTGATAGATTTTTGATGGTGCTTTTCTTAATTTAATTTAAAAGATGCTCCCCTGATGGCTGCCTGATCCTGGAGAAGCAGGGCTTGGGGAGAGCTGAGAGAGAGGCAGGACCCTGGCAGCAGCCTCCTCACCCCAGAGGGAGCAGCCTAATCATGACCAGCTCAGGGCAGTTGCTCAGAGCCCTCAGCTGCTGGGCTCAGAAGGACTGGGGTAAACTGAGGGTGGTCACTTGGATAGGCAGAACACAGCTGTCTGTAGGGTGCCGAGCCTTGGTGGGGACACTGTGTAAGGGACAGTTTCTGGGCCCCCTGGGAGCAGGGCAGGGGCAGCCTTAGCAGTGCAGACCAAGGCGAGGACACTTGTGATCTGCTCGCAGGGAGAATTAATTTCAAAGAAAAATGTAGAATTTAAGCAGCAAATTGACCTCAATCCATTGACTATGGTGAAAGAAGTGTGGGCGACATAACCAGTGTTTGACACTGAAATCTGACTGCCTCTGACACTGGGCTATAACAGAAACAGGAGTCCACTGTCCTTCACTCAGGGTCACAGAGTCAGCTCACAGCATTTTCTGGGCAGATCTCATCCTTGGATTTAGCTTTCTAAGCGAAAGTGACCTATTTAAATATAAAAGGCCAAGCTAACTCCAAATTTCTTTGAAAGCACATATGAAAAGCAACCAGCAAACGTCATTTGGAGATAACAGTGAACCTAGGGCTAAAATAAGCATTAAACAGCTATTTTGCTACTCCACGTGTGTAAATTCATGATTTAGAGCAGATGATATTGGCGATAATTAAAATTAAAGTTAGAAGTACATGCTGCTTTAGTTCTTTAGCTTCAACAAGCACGTGACAGAAAAATGTTGATTTCCATGAGCCTTTGTTTTGTATATAATGATTTCAGTGGGTAAATTTGATGGGAGAAACTAAATGAATCCTATATGGATATGATACAATAATTTCATAGGAGTCTAGATGCATGTGTCAAAGCAACTCTTTTCCAGGGTCACTATCTGCATAAGTGCTACTAAAGCCTTCCTTTGTCTGAGTCAGGTGTTTAGATGAATTTCTGTTTAGCCCTAAGTGTAGCTTTATGTCAGGAAAAACAGCATCATGACCACACGGGAAGTCAAATGTAACACCCAGGTGGTTAATACCTTGGTGCCTTTTGAAGTTTCTAATTATTACAGATTTCACTTAAACCCAGATCTGCACTGTCAGTCTGGAGTTGGTTATCCTGAAAGTGAGGACAGATGTCACTTACATTACTCCACATTGAGAGAAAATGTGGCTGATTGAATTATCATGGAAAAGGAAAATGCTATCACGGCGGATTCCTATCTCTCAGCATGTTCCCATTAAATGGACTACATTCTAAGTAATCTGTATAGGGATTAACTAATATACTTTGTAAGTTTGGAGGCCAGAATAAAATGCTGTATAATTACACAGGGATGGAGTTTTAGAGTGATTTATTCAGAATGTCCTTGTCGCAATGGATTCCTCCTTACTTGTCTCTGAAAATTTTTTCCCTTGTGGGGGAATCTCTTACTCTCCTAGGGAAAAAACACCTTTCTTACAGAGATAACCATAGGCTCATTGAATGTTTGCTGCCTGTACAGATCTGTCTGAATTTGATCAAACTGCTTTCCTGGTGGTGCAGTGCTACAGTTCCTGGAGTTTAACCCACTTTTCTTTTCCCATCAATCACCTGGCTAATGTGGGTCTCTTTTGCTAGCACCACAGCTCACCATCCGGAATGCAAGCCGAGTCTGTCTTGTTGACTCTGCTCCTCTCCTTCATGTGCAAGCCCTTCATCGGCGCTGAGCTCAGATCCCTTTCCACTGCCTCGGCCAAGTCACTCTGGCCTCCAGCTCTGCTCTAACTATTTGCTTCAGGAGCCCTATAACTACTCTTCTCCATAACATTTTTTAAAACACTAGTTTTAGAGTTTATTTCAGAAGCATAAACTTGACTTCTATCTTTCCATTTTCATTGAAACAGTATCCCACTCTGTAGTCTAGGCTTGCCTTGAACTCACGTAGATCCTCTTGCTTCAGACTCCAGAGTGGTGACATTACAGTAATGTGCCACCACGCCCAGCTTTGATCAATCTTGAGATACCAGTTACCTCTGCTGTTTATTTGTTTGTTCACAAAGCATGGAACAGGCAATCAATTACTGTATGAAGAAAAGCCCACTCTTCTAACTCAAATGGTGTATGCAAGACTTCTGAGGCCAGGTCCTCATTTGGTTTAAAGCAGGAAGCTTGTTTTTCTATATATGCCTAACAACTTTCTCCATGTTGTATGATTACTTTGTAAAAATTGGAAGGAAGCTATTTCACTTGTCTCTAAACAATATTTCTAATCAAAAGAGGCATTCAAATATCAGACAATTTGTTTTCTTAAAGGAGCAAAAGTACATAGAGCTTGGACTGCTATGTGACTTTAAATTTTCAAACATTGCCTCTCATGCACGATTTACAATACTGTTGGTTTATCTCTTCTGCATGAGGAACAAAACAAGAAAAGCGATGTTACTAACTTCTCTCCTCTCCCTACCCACAATGTACCAATCCCACCCCAGAATTTATCTCCATTTGACAAAAGAGCCTTTTAGCTAGAGATCTGACAGATCTGTCACAATGACGAGTGCATTCTAGCGTAGTGAGTAATTTCTTGCTAAATAAAATTAGGACACAGATTGAGAAATATATGGTGTGTATGCTAAATTTAGAATATTAAGTAGGGTCTCCTCATGTTTTAAATTTTGGCAGTGATAAGACACATGTGTGTGAATGTAGGTGAGCAGTAAATACTAACCAATACATTCTTCTCAGGACACTTAAAGGGTGTTTCTCAAATAGGTTTGAGGATTCTCAGCCATCACCATCCTTTTAGGGGGCAGCCCAGCAAAGCGGAGAAGAATGTGGAATAATGAGCAAGCTTATGAGTCAGAGCACAAAGGATGAAGGGAGCTGCTCTCACCTACCTTGGGTCCACAAAGGATGTGTCTTGGGCAATCAGGTCAAGACCTCAGCCTTTTAGGCTTTCTCTTGATTAAAACTGTAATCCATATCTCCTACTGTCTCCAATACTCAGGCAGATGCATGACACCACCTTAAAATATTTCAAAACTCTACATAGCTCAGCAGGGTTGGGCCCCATGTAAATCTGAACCCCTTGCTTATTCATCCCCAAAGATAACAGCTGCTTGGCACAGAAGTAGAGTCGGTTGGGGTTTCTGTGCCCTTGACACTCCATTATCATAAGTAACTAATCTCTTTATTGTCTTGGCAACAAATAAAAGAAAATAACCTAAAAAAAGTTGTTTGACAAGTACGCTAGCTAAATAGTAATCTAACATATTTCCTGGATCATCTAATTGGTATAATGCACACTTTGTCTAAAGGTTGACTTACTAAATCTCTGGCTGAGCCTGACTGCATTCCTCCCAGGGATGCAGGCATTAGCATCAGTGAACAGAGCTGTCACTGGGGCACTGGGTCTAAGTGGGGAGCAATTTCTTTAGATCTCAGCTTCCCCCTCCTAAGACACACTTCACAAGTGGATTCCGGAGATCATCTGTGCAGTTTCCTCCGTCTTACGTCCAGGTCCGCTCACTCCTGTCTTCTCCCGGGAAGCTGCTCATATTGGAGCAGGCAGAGGCTCCCAAGGGGAAGCGCAGTGACCTGAGCTACAGGATTGTAACATTGGGGAAATATTTAGCCTGCCCATCCTTGGTAGGAATCATTTTTCTGGTAGGGCTCGTGATTCAGGATGAACCTTGTGGTCCGCCTCAGGGCCCCTCACTGCTCTCCTTTCTCCTGAACTCATGGGAAGGGGGGTCTGACTGTGTCTCTGGCAGCTCCACTGGACAGTTCCTGGCCACAGCTGCTCACCTGGACACAGCATTCCCAGAGGAGCCAGCAAAGTCCAAGGTTCAGGTTAACATGATGTCATGTCACATAAAGACTAATTATAAGTTATGGGAGATTTTGTGAAAATTGGAAGTCATATAGTGCTTATTCCATAATTAATTGGAAAAAAAACCTAGAATTGATAAGAAAGAAAAAAATACAAGACACCTCATGATTTTAACTGATCTTTGTGTATCAGCCAGCCCTGAGTCAGACACTAAGACAGACACTGAGCTGGACAGTGTGCAGCGGTGAGGGCACCTGGCCCAGTGCTGTCAGGGGCACAGAGCTCGCTGCCCTGCGACTGTGAGGGGGGCAAGGCTGTGGGCCTGGGGAGCAATTGGAACCCTCCAGGATGAGAGTCTCCTAGGCTCTGCAGGAAAATCAAGGTCAGTCCAGGAAGAATCTGAAGAACAGGAAGCAGGAGAGGAAAAACAATAAAAGTTCCAGGTTGGATTAAGTGTAACATCCAAGAGAGTACAAATGAAGGAATTCTCTCTCCTCTGGGTTCTCCCATTGAATTTTATATTAGCAAGATGTTCTAAGTTCACTCTTGATTTATATATAGCTATGTTTTGTCCCTCCACAAATGAGTCAAGCCACACAGTTTCCCCTTTACCTCGGTATCTTCTAGACATCATGGAGAGAACAGCAGTGATCATCAAAAGGAAAAGCATAATCAGGAGCCCCAGCACCAGAGCTGACTGCACTGTCCAGGTGTTGACCCGGGAGAACAAGTCCTCTGAAAAATAGGAAGCAGCTGCTGAGACCCAGCTGGACACTAGCTGACTTGGTAATGGGCACAAGTCCAAGTATGGTTTCTCCCGGGAAAAAGCAGGACAGGGACAATGGGCCTCAGTCTCACTGCAGCTCTCAGGAGCTCAGGACCTGAGGGTTCCTGTGTCCCTGTTTCCCTGATGTGTGACACCCAGGAGGGCCTGAAGAATTTGGGAGACCCAGGAACATGCTGGATATGGAAACCAGTGCAGCAGACACTCATGCATCTACCATCCAGACTGAATACCGTGTTTATATATGTGATGGGCAACAGTGTTAACACACACAAGGACACTCAGGGCAGGAGACTCTTCCCCTCACTCTCCAAGTGAACCTGCCCTGCTCCTCTGTGTCCAGTTATTTCCTCCTGTGCATACCTGTGAGCCCAGAACTATGCTGGATCACAGGTTGAGATGTTCCATAATTACAGTGAGGATATTGAATGACACCTGATGATAAAACCTAGGAGATGTCAAGCTCCAGGCCTGCAAGAGAATCCCGCTCACCTCAAGGGTTCATCTGAAAGGTGTGATGGTCAATAATTTAAATTTGAAAGAACCAATATGATGCTACTGTATATCTGTGTGATGATGTGAGACCAGAAGAGAAATGAAGACATTCTTGTTGAAGAACGATCTTCATCCCGTAATTTAAAAATGTGCTTACACGTTCATATGTGAATCAGATAACTGTTTAATTACTTATGTGTGGCATGGCATCGTTCAAATTATTTAATGCATTCCTTATCTATGCTGTGCTCTACCACACATTTCAGGAGTCTTCTGGTTTTATGAGTAATAATAATTATATTTCTTAGTTCCAACTTTCCATTATCTCGAAAATATTCTGCAATTCTTACTGGCATGAAAGTCTAACTTCAACCTGTAGGCTGTTGGGTCATCTCAAACTATGCTTTTCTAAGGTTCTCATTAGAAACTGAATCCTCTGACACATAATTTTCTCTACGTAATCCCTCACCATTAACCTAACTTTCATGTGTGTAATTATCAAAATAAATCCCAGAAAAGATATTTTTTAAATAATGTCTCTAAATAAAGAACCTTATTTACTAATTCCTCTGGACATTAATTTCTATATATTTGGCATTGATTAGTTGACCAACTAGTGGAGATATTTAAGAATTAGTGCACAGTATCTACCACCGTTGATACTCCACTAGGGGACACAGAACAACACAGTTCAGAAGACACAGGGGAGCACAGAATGGTGCTCAGTGCAGGCAGAGCTGGGGGAGGCTCCTGAACAGGCCTCAGTGTCCAGGACAGCGGGAAACTGCTCCTGTGAGGAGACAGAAGGAGCCCAGCAGGCAGCACCATGGGCAGCAGGGCTGTGCGGGGTGGGGTGGGGCAGGAGGTGTAGAGAAAAGGAGACAGGGGCAAAAGCTGAGGCTGCAGGAGAACAGATGCACAGGGAAGGGCCAGCGAGGTCCCAGGCTGCGTGGTTTCTCTGTATCTGGGAAAATAATCCAGGAGGCTCAGGGAGCCCTGGAGCTGCCCTGGATTCCTGTAAGCATTGCTATGGACAGAGCCCAGCATGGACTGCGGGGAACAGCTGTGCCCTGCCCTCAGATGCCAGGTGTGAGTGACTCCTCAGGAGGGTCTGGTGACAGGGACAGCGGGTTGTTCCTGTGTAACAGGCGGCAGGACAGACAGTGGACAGTGCTTTTCCAGAATCACAAGGCCAGCAGGGAGGTGATGCTGGATTTCAACTCAGTGTGACAAAGAGGAAAAATAAATTCCACATTGCTATGCAGGAGTCTCTCTTTGGAAAAGGCATTAGACAAGTTTGGAATGAACTTCAACACATTCCTCAAAATGCTCTGTTACACTTACATGATTTTGCTTCTCTTATTATGATGTGAAATAATGATTATTACACAAACAATAAAAAATAGGAAAAAAGGTATATCAACTAGCTTCCCAAATAAGAGCTGGCCATGTGTGACCTGGTTATTCTCCCAGTCTTCTCATCAGGGTCATTGCTGGTCCCCCTCCCTCCTCAGCACTGACATCTCAGAGTGAGGGCTCTGAGGGAACTCACCTGCTACTGAGAGACGCGCCTCCTTCTCCTCTCTGAGGACAGGGTTCCCGATCCAACAGGACACAGCTGCTTTTGAGCTTTTTGTCATTGTGACAGAGCTTTCCACATGGATCAGGCCGTCTCCTTGTTCAGACCTAGTCTCAGAGTCAGGTGACAGAGGCTGTCCCTGTGGGTCCCTCCATTGTAGCTCAGGGTCTGGGTACCACCCCGAGGATGAGCAAGTCAGTATGATGCCCTCAGTGTCCGCAGGCTGAATGTGGATATGAGGAGGTGCACCCGAGGCTAGAGGAATCATGAGAGGCCCAATAATACTTCTTTTGTTAGTTTATAAACATGGCCTATAGGCCAATCAGCTTGTGCTCACAAAATAACATCTGTGTGAACCGCAGCTCTGTATTTGCGAACACAGTATTACAGGAAAGCTGGCCATAAAGTACTTCCCTGCACAATGGCTTACACGAATAAAATTAACTATAGCAGCACTCAGAAAAATATGCAATCCCAAGCAGTCCCGTATCTGGTATTTCCTTTCCCTTCCTCTTAGGGTCATTTATCCCTCTATGTGCTGACTCCCAAGGTGGGTGGTGAAATACTCTGTCCACCCAGTTGAAACTGAGAGTTACAGATTCCATAGCACTTCATGGTTTCCTGTGGTAAAATACAATGGGCCTCACAGCATTCACTGAGCTTTTTTGAACTGCAGCAGAATGTTCCACAAGAACCTTTGACATGGAGGCAGTCCTGTCACTGTGGTCCAGTCCATCAGACACTGGTAAAATGTGTGAGTGAAGCACGCGTAACATGGCTGAGGAATTGAAAACTGTCCCTCTTTATTTAGTATCAATGCACCGTCCCAGCTTGCTTTGTATTTAGGACTGGATTTAAGATGCTGATGGAAGCAGTACACTGGACATGCCCTGAGCATCCTTTCAACAGTGACCATGAGGGAGAGGCAATAAGCCATCCCATCAGTCTTCCTCCTTTTCCAGGGCTGGCTTGAGGTCATGCTCAAAGTGAACAGGGAGGTCTCATCTAGGGGAGTTGCAGCCTCACAATGGAGGACATGGAGACTGGCACTGTCCACCCACTCTCCCATCCCAGGCCCCTTGCTTCTTGTTCTTCACAGGAGCACAGGGTCAGGATGAAGCTCAGCATGCGGCAGGGCAGTGCACAGCAGCATGGACTCCTCACCTGCCCCACGGCTGTGTCTGTCTAAGCACTTGTCAAGGAGGTGGGGAGAGGAAAATGGAGCCAGGAGCAGGAGGTGAAGCTGAAGAGGTGAGTCCCAGAGAAGAGCAGCCCTGCTGAGGGCAGCACTTCGTGTCCTTGAAGGGGAGACCGTGAGGAGAGGGGCAGGGACAGGGCTCTGGGCTTCTGCAGAGACTGTGTCTCCAGTGGGAACAGGTTCCTGACTTGGGCCCCACTTCACTCCTCCAGGAGGACAGGGTGGACTAAAGAACCAGGGCCAGCAGCCACACAGCTGAGAAGGCACAGGCTCCTCAGAGAGGGGTCAGGAGGTTCAGCTCTGAGCAATCAGAAAAGGGGTTCAGGTGCCCTTTGTCATGCATTCCCTTGAAGGAAGATTGGATGAGCATAGAACCTAATTTTTCTAGTGCATCATAAGGGAAAAGGAAAGATAAAAATGAAATGATTCACACATCATTAAAAACAGAGACAATTTCATGAATTATATAGAAACAAGACACCAGTGAATTTATGTGCCAATCTTTCTATGTAAAAACATTTCAATTATGCAGATCATATTTCTTACTGCTTATTATTGATTTTTGCATATCAAGGACACAGTAAAAGTTTATATTGGCAAATGTAGTATTTATCTACGGTAGCAAAAATTCAAAATAGAGAAAAACCTAGGATTGCACAAAACTTGTGTTGCGAGTGTTCCACAAGAGGATCCAACATTTCTAATAATCTTTACCTTAATAATCAAGGGACTTGTGGTAATAAGAGTAGTCCCTGATGCTGAATGTCACATGACCACAACTGAGCCAATGGCCTCCCTCTCTCTGCCTCTCTCTCTCTCTCTGTCTGTTTCTCCTTTTCCTCCTGAAATCATAGGTGTTCATCTCTAAACAAAAGGTGAAGGAGATTTTGCCTGAAGTAGAAGAGGATAACAGTTGGAGGAATTCCTCACTTCAGTGATATTAGGGAGATATGTCAAATGTGAGAAACAGTTTAAAATTGGGTAGAAAAGCAGCACCAGCATAGGGCGGTAGCTATCTGAGTGGGGAGTCTGTTTACTGACAATACAATGTCATATTTCTGCAGATTGCTACAAAAGAGGCAAAAGCAAGTGCCAGGGGACAGTTTTCTTTTTAAAGTTGCATAGAAACAAAAGACTCCACTGAGTCAGTAGACAGCTGTGATTCTATTAGTGACTGTGAAAGTCATCCTACATAGTGACCCTCCTCTCTCTTGTCTCCCTCACACCAGCCATGAAGGAGGTCAAGGAAAGGGCAGGTCAATGTCACCATTTTTCTTTTTTGTTTGCTGATTTTAAATTGCGTTACAGCATTGGAATAATTTTATATGAATATTTGGGGACATAGAACAAATTACGTAGGTTGCCATTATTTCTTAAGCAGATATTTGCTTTGATATGCAAGCACTCTGGGTTAAGAGCATGTTTCTGGAACACACTATGCTGGCCAACCGAGGTTTCACACTATTTTACAGCTCATGATACATGAGAAAATGAACAGAACCTTTTGGACATGCTCAGTTTGCTTTGGCTTCATAAGAGTGAGTGAGATTAAAGCACATTCTCTCTGGTGGATGTAATCAGTGGAAATTCTGAAGCTTTACACTGGCTTCATCTTTGTTTAAATTTCTGTTGTTGTTTGATGCGTTTAACTTGGAACTACAACCACTCCTGTCTTACTCGTTTTTACAATTTGAAGAAGTGACATCTCTGGAAAACATCCTTGCTGAATCTATGAGCTTGAAACAGAGACCCCAGCAGGTGGTCAGGGAAACACTGCTGATGTCAGAACAAACTCCAGAGCAGGCAGCACAGCTGGTGTCCAGCCAGGATCTTCAGGATGAGGAGTGAGTGATGCTGAGTGTACAGAAATAAAGTGGAGCACAGGGGAAGCTGATTGCTAAGCAGCAGGGAATCTCTCTGGGCCAGCAGCCTTGGGACAGGAAAAGGCAGGCTGCTCCAGAGGGATGAAGGGATGCACCAGGAGATGCAGTGGAGGAGGAGGGCTCAGTTTCAAAGTCACTTATTAGGGTATTTTTATTTACATAACTAAAAGTTCACTGCACACAGCTGCACAAATTCTAGAAAATGTGTGCAGAGCATCTAGGAACGGATGTGCCAAGATCTTCCCAGATGTCCCCACAGAATAATGAAGATCTCACCAGAGGGTGTGGTGGGAAGAGAGGAGCACAATCAGGCTCACCCAGCCCTGCAGGCTCCTGGACAAGTGCATCTGGTAGGTGCTGCCCTTATGCATGTAACTGGTGCCTGCAGGGCAGACAACAGAACGCATACTGGAAGATGGGGCTTCCTAACCCAGACAGGGGCTTAACCCTGCCCCAGAACCACAGAGATGCTGTGGAGAGAGGTACTGTGACCATCTGAGATGTTTAGAAGTTTAACAAAGTCTATCCAGACATTTTACATCCTAGGCTGTACCTAGCACCTACCCTAAGGCAGCTTGTAATTCAGAGGGATAAAGTGACAATAAACAAGAATGACCTGGCTTCTGTTCTTCAGGGGAGCTACAGTCTGCACCTTACGCTTGGAAGTCTTCTTAGGCTCCTAGAGCAGTCTGTATGTCTTTCTCCTCAGATCTTTCAGCTTTTAGGTGTGGACTCTTACTCTTCTGGTGTAGACAATTTGGCCTTCCATATCGGTCTTGTGGGCCTCCTGATACAGAGCTGCATGGGACACTTATACAGTTCTGTGGGTAAGCATCTTAATCCAGTCTTCTAATCACTTAAACATTTACCTATCTTGTGTTACATCTGTTTCTCTTGTAAAATATGGCATGTAGATTTTGGTTTTCAGAAATTGAACCCAAAGCTTTCTATATAAGACTTGCCAGAAATTTTCTTTTCTGAGACTCCTAAAATGGATAAGAATTATACCACTCACTGCTTTTTAAGGTAACCATGGGACAAAGGTCTCTTTGTTCCTGATCAGAGGTGCAGAGATTTTCCTCCCAGCAGCCTCTGGCTTTCAGAGATTATCAGGATGGGAGACTCACACAGGTTAATGGACCTGGAGATCAAAGATGCAGGATGATCTTGGAAGTCATAAATTCACTTCTAATGATGATTTTGTTGTTGTTGTTGTTGTTTTTTAATTTTGTTGGTTTCTAATGAGGCCCTTTGAAGGAAGACAAAAAGCAACCCAACACTGAGCTCAGCAAACGGCCCTGTGACATTTATAAACAGAGCTGATTCAAGCGCAGTTTGTAGTTCCATAAAGAGCCACCCTTTCCTTTCCATCCCCTCATGACAGGATTCTCCCTGCTGTCAATGTCTGGGGAAGAAGAGATAACAGCGCAGGCTTTGGAAGAGATCTGAGTTCACAGGTGACAGGGGAAGGGGGGCAGGAGCATATGTGATAGGAAGGAGCTCAACCAGGATGGGAGGAAATGAGGTGTAGAAACCCAGAGTTGGAGAGTAGGCTGTCCAGGTCTTCCTTGTTCCTGTGTACCTCCTGGGTCTAGCAAGGCAGAAGGAAATGAGCAGACTGAGATGTGTTTGGAGAATCTTGGAGTCAGAACACACTGCATTCCAAGATCAAATCTGTCCTACCACAAATTTATTGGAAAACAAAAATGATAAGAATTTTTTTCCATTAAAGAATAAATAACTCCATAAAGACTAATTAAATGAATTTGAGCCCTAACACCTGTCATTCCATTATGGTGTTTGTAGATACCCAGACATATTTCCCACACATACAGTTCAGTCTTAATTGAATTTTTTAAAAAATCAGCATTTTCAATGCTCACCTGCAACAAGCAGCTCAAACTGTGCTTGACCAACATGTGTGGATCTTACAAAGACACAGCTGTACTGTCCTTCATCTTTAGGAAGGATGGGATGGATCCTCAGGGCCACCTGGCCTTGGGTGATGTTCTCCCTCAGGAGCTCTGTCCTCCCTTGGTACTCGAGACTCTGCTGCTCCATGTGGTCCTGAGAATTCCTATACTCATGCACCAGTGCTGATTGGTGGTCCCGGTACCATCTGATCTCCATGTTCTGAGCATCTGTGGGTGGGCTGAGGTGACAGGGAAGCACAGCTGCTTCTCTCACTTGGGTAATAAACAGTGACCTTGGTGTTTTCACTTGGAACTGCCCTGGAGGTGATTAAGAAGAGGACAGAGTCATTGCTGAGAGGGTGGCAGGCATAGTGGTGGGCTTCTGACCAGATAGGGAAGAAAATGTGTCAGATAATTTGATGAGTTGGACAGCTAATGAACAGAGCTAAAAATAGGAGATGGCAGTTCAATTTTAGCATAAGAGATCACAGAACATTAGGTTAAATGTGCAACAATTATAGGACCCTAAACTAAATTAAGTCTTTTCCACTTTGCTTAGGTTTGTAAGTCAAATTCATATGAAGCACTGTGTTTAATTCTTGTCATTCTGTGTATTGGAGGGTAAAATTGTTTTTCAGATAAACAAATACAACCAGTGAGTGGTTTAATACTATATCACATGACACAAAATAATGGATCATAAAATGAATATTTCAAAATAGCATAAAATATTTTTTGCTTTCCAGCATATATTACAGTGTCTTATAAGACAAATGCATGTGAAAACATTAAAACCAATCTTTTTCTAAGCAAATAGTAGAGAGATATTGCCTCATTGAAAAGTAATATACGTGTCTCCTTTAGAATGCTTAAAATCACTGCCTTGGTGCTGGCCTATTCCTCCACTGTGGATTCCACACCTCAGCCCAGGCACCACCAACTTACCATTGGCACTTTTGTCCTCTGCATGGGGACATGCCAGTGAAACAACAGACCTGGTTGGGAAAAAAGCAACAGCCTGAATAGGAGACTCAACATGGATGAGTAAAGGAAAAGTCACATCACAGAAGCTAAGGAAAGATTCACAGAGAGGGAATGTTCTGGAAGGTCTAACATGGCTTACTATGGAGGAGCCATGTTGGAAAGACTCGGAGAAAATTAACAAGAACTCAGAGTAGAACCGACAGGAGGATGGAGCAGTCAGTTCAAGCAGCTCGGCTTCTCCAGGACACGTGGTATCAAGTCTGGAGTGGGAGACTGCAGGAAGAACCTGAATCTCTGTCCTGAATGACCTTCAGTGGTAAGAGGTCGTGAGGATCTGCCACACAAATGTCCCAGGACACAGCTACACAGTACGGGCATGGACAGGAAGACACTGTGAAGGGCTGGGAGTCTGAACTTTGCTCCTAGAACTGTGTCTTGCAGTCTTCATAATGGAAGACCCAGAATACAGGAGGAAAAGATTGTTACTGGAGATGGTTGGCAGCTGAAGAGCAGATTGAAGTGAGTCCTACTGAAAGGCAGGGACTGGAGTTCATAGAGCTGGGACCTGTGAGGAGGCACCAGACTCAGCATGACTTCCTCAGCATTGGAGGCTCACACTGGTACTGTTTTCCCAGGGCTAACGGGAGACGAACAACGGGGGCTCATGGTGTGTTAATTCTCACCCAGCCTTGATAGACACCATGGAAATCCATTAGTCTCTTACAGCTGTAGTTGAATTGATTGCGTAGGAATAGTCATGACTCAGGAGACAGCTGAATGTCTATGAACTTGTGTGCCAACACCCAGGGAAAGTGACAGCAAAAGCTGCTTACCCAAGAACTTGGGCTGGATCAGACTCTGAGAAATGCCTGAAACCTGCCAGAAAGAGGTCCTGAGACTGAGTTAACTCCAGCTTTGCAGGAAGGGATCACAGGTGTAATGGGCTGTGAGCCCTCTAAGAACCAGGTATAGGGGCTGCTTGGGAGTCACATATGCACTGACTCATTGGAATAGCTCATCTGCGTTCTCATCAGACATCTGAGTAGTTGAAGTTTTTCTTTTGTTTTAATGTTTCTGGAGTTATTTAATAACACAGGATTATGAATTTTTTATATTTTCATGAGTGTATTACATGGAAACTCTTGTGTATTTGTGTTTTAGTTGCCTCTGGTTTCATCGGTGTGGAAGTTCTGAATGTTGTTTAGGAACAGACAAAGAGGGAGCCTAACTGCAAGGATGGTCATATGGAAATATCAGAGTGAGTCTGTGGATGTTGTTAATTGGAATAATTCTTGTGGCAACACATTGGGACTGAGTTAAACCCATAAATAAATGAGGTGAGCAAGTGGTTCTAGAACTGGACATATAAAGCTGAAAACTATTCAAGGGGAGGCAACATCCTACTAAAACTCTCCCTATAATCACATGCTCTGCTCACTTTTCTAATAACCAGTGCCCCAAAAAGGATGGGGAAGAAAAAAGGGAACACACACACACACACACACACACACACACACACATATATATATATATATATATATATATATATATATATATATATTTAAAGATATAGATAGATATATATAGATATAGATATAGATATAAATGTACTCAAATAGATACAGATATCAGTAGAACAGTGGGGAAACAAGGAAATAGAAGATCTCCTAACCCATCTCCAGCTCCCCCAAGACAGTGCAGGGATCACAAAGGGAGAAGAAAACAATCAGACAGAAGACATCTGTGAGAAGTTCTTAGAAGGATAAGAAAACAGATGAATTAAGGAAGAAATGAGGGGGCTGGGGATTTAGCTCAGCGGCATAAGTGCCTGCCTTGCAAGCAGGCAGTCATGAGTTCGATCCCCAGTACCGATAAAAATGAAAAAGACAAAAAAAAAAAAGGAAGAAATGAACTAAAAGTTTACAGGAAGTAACTAGCTATGCTCACAGTGAATTTAGCAGAATAAACAGATTGGACTAACTCAACAAAACAAATCAAAATTTGAATGACAGGTTCAAGAAGAATATAGAATCCTCAGAAAGATGTCAGAGAGCAATAAGTGAAGGGAAAAACAGGGTAGCATTCATATATCTCAGAAGTGACCAATATGAAGAGAGTATTTGACATTGAGGACAAAATAGTGATGATAAGATCTCAAGACACCATAAAGACCACACACACACCAAAAAAAAAAAAAAAAAATCAAGAGAAGACTATCCAGAAGTTGCTAGATGACACCAGGAAGGGCAATCTAAGGCTGACGGGAATTAGAGAAAATCTAGAAATTACATATTTGGGTTCACCAACATGCATACAGGTACTATGGAGGAAAACTTCCCTAATATAGGAAAATATTTCAAAGCACAAGTGAATTATGCTGACAGAATCCCAAACAATTATGATGAAAGGAAAAACTTACCAAGGCATGTCCTCATTCAAATCACAGAAAACAGAATTTTAAAAACAGACAGAAAAAAATAATAATTACATATAAAGGTAAACCAATTAGAATCACATCAGACTTCTCAGCACTAAACCTGAAGGCCAGAGGGAGTTGGAGTGAAGTAGTTAAAGCCCTAAGAGCAAATAGCTTCAAAGTCTGATTAACTTACCCAGCAAATCTATAATTTAAAATAGGATGGAGAAACAAGGTATGTCCATGAAAAAGACCAGCTCAGAAGATATATGAATGCTAAAGCAGTTCTAGAGAAAACACTCACTATTCTTGAAAGAAAAAAAAAATAGGGCACACCTTCAAATACAGAGGAAAGTAGACAGGTCAGTGGATAAACAACAGCCACATCAGTCAGAAAAGTAAAGCAAGTGATATATAAACAGACATATAAGGTGATGATAGTAAAAATCTAACACGTGTCTATAATATCACTCAATATAAATGGCCACAATTCTCCAATCAAAAGACACAGACTGGCAGGCTGGACCAAAAAACAAAATCCCAAAAGATTATTTGTATTCCAGAATCTTACCTAGCCCAAAAAAGTGTATATATATATATATATATATATATATATATATATATACTAAAAATATATACATATATATACATACTAAAAAAAAAAATATATATATATATATAATATATATTAAAAATCAAAGGATGACAAACAATATTCAATGCACCAAGACCCTCAAAACAGGCCATGGCAACAGTTCTAATATTAGATATGGTATCTGACAGTTTAAAATGGAAGAGAAGAAACAAAGAAGTTCACTTCATATTAATTAAAGGATAATTCAACAAGGAAAGATAACATTAATAAACATGGATGTACAGAATAGTAGAGAATCTGTCTTCCTAAAACAAAAACTGCCGAAATCCAAAGAGCAAATAGACATTAAAAAGTCATAATAAAGGATTTTAACAGCCTTTATTGGCAGAGGCAGATTAAATAGAAATTTTGAAAACATTTCACAGCTAAAAAAAATCTGAAAACATGGATTTAATAGATAAATACAGAATATTCCACCACTCTACAAAAGCATATATATTGTTTTCAGCAGCACGTGGTACTTTTTCCAAAGCAGATCACATGCCAGTCCACAAAGCATTGCTCAGGTAAACATGAAATAATTGAAATCCCCCTATGCATACTATCCAGCTATTATGCACTGAAAGGAGAAATGAGTGACAGAAGAAAATTTTAAAAGGAAAAACTTCTGGAAACTTAACAGCATACTTCTAAACAACCAATGGATCACAGATGAAATAAAGAAGTAATTTTAAAAACTGTGGAATTTAATGATAATAACGCACAACTCTGCACTGTCAAAGCAGTTTGAAAAAGAAAATTCATCTAATTAATGATTATATTGGAAAAAAAGAGCAGGTCCAAATAACTAACAGTATGAGAATTCCTGAGACACTTGAAGAATAACAATAAACCAGCCTCAACCAGAAATGAAGGAGAGACATATTAAGTCTCAATGAAATTGAGACTGAAAAAAACCATTAAAAACATCAATGATTTAAAGACCTAGTTCTAAAAAAATAAATAAAAATGGTTAAGGCCTTAGCAAGACACACTAAGAGAAAGAGATAAAAGATTGATTTTAATACAATTAGAAACGGCAAAGGTAAAATTACAACAGACACTGTCAAACCCATGACAGTAGTCACTGTCAGAATTTATATTTCAAAAAGTGAAAAAGTTCACAGAAATAGACAGATTCCTAGACACATACGAACTACAAAAACTAACCCAAGAAGATACAAATATGCTGAGCAACGCAATAAAAAGCAATGAAATTGACTCAGCAATAAAGAATCTGTTAACTAAAACACCACAGGATATTATGACTTCACACCTGAAATC